CCGCTCCCGCCCCATAATCGGCTCCAGCTGCACAAACATTCCCGCACCCGGAGCCGCCGCCGCCTCCGGAGCCGCCCCCGCACCCGCCCGGACCCTCCCCCAAGCCCCTCCGGGCCCCCCGGGCAGCCCCTCCCCCGGAGCCCCGGGCCCCGGCCGGACCCTTCCCCGGCCGGGGCAGCTGCGGAACCGCGTGGCCGAGGGCAGCCCCGGGCAGAGCCCTGCAGGGCAGGGCAGGGTGGGGAGGGGCTCTGGGGGGCTGGGGGAGACCGTGTCCATCGTCCATGTCCACCCATCCATGTCCACCCACCCATCCCATCTGTGTCCACCCATCCTGAGCCTACTCGTTCCATCGGTGTTCATCCACTCCATGTCTACACACTTCACATCCACCTACGGATCCATTCCATCATCACACCCACATGTGCATCCATTCATGTCCGTCCATCCATCCATCCATCCATCCATCCATCCATCCATCCCTTGTCCACCCAACACTCTCTGGACAGGCCCTGGGTGTTGGTGGGTCCCACTCTCACCCATCCCAGCTTCTCCAGGCAGTGCACCAGAATGGAGATGGGAGCCCATGCCCACCCACGCTGTGCCCATCCACGCCAGGCTCTCCAGGAGCTCCCCAGGATGGAGACTGGGTCCATCCAGCTGTGTCCATCCATCCCCTACCCTGCAGGAGTGGGGCTGGGATGGAGCCAGGGCCCCACATCCCTGTGTCCAAGGGAGGGGAGGACACTGAGTGACACACTCATTGTGTCATTCACCGACCCCAGGCTCTCCAGGACAATTCTGGGGTGTGGAGGCGGCCCCACATTCCTCACTCCCCCAGCCCTCAGGTGTGTCCCTGTGCAGAGCCAGGGTCCCAGCCGGCTTGGGGACAGTGACGGGGATGGGTCGCACCCCGCCGCGCACAGCTGGCCGGGATGGCGGCACGGGGACAGGACTGTGTGCCCGCCTTGGCAGACCCTCCCCGCCCGGGCCCCCGAGCTGCCGGCTCCCGTCCGCGGCTCCGTCTCCTTTAAGAGCCGAATCCAGCCGCCGGCCGCCTGTCCCCGCTGGCGCCCGGCCAGGGCTCGGCTCGGCCGCGGCCAGACCCCGCTGCAGCGCCCGCCCGCGGGGACAGCCGGCCGGGGACAGCCGCTGGCACCACTGGGTGCTGTCCCTTGGGTCACTGCTGGCTCTGTCCCCGTGCGGGTGAGGGCACGCGGGGCCAGAAGGTGGGGACAGCCAGAGATGTCCCCACAAAGTCTCAGGACCTGTCATGCCAAGAGATCATGGAAACACGTGAAGTGTAGCAAAGACATGTCCCTTGTCACCTCCCTCTGCCACCCCAGTGTCACTGCTGGAGGCCGGGACAAGGGGGGCGGTGGCAGGGGAGGGGACAGGGGAGATGGATCCCACTGCCCTGAGGGAATTGTGACCCGTGGCTGAAAAAGGGACAATCTGGGGACATGGGGAACCTGGGGGCCATGGGGACAGGGGGCAGAACAGCCCCAGGAGAGAGGACAGCCCCCATGCGGGACAGGGACAGGAGAGCCCATGGGTAAGGGGACAGGATAGCCTGTGGCCAGGACGGCCCATGGGCCAGGGGACAGGACAGCCAGCAGCAGGGGACAGCAGTGACCACGGCCTGGGACAACCAGTGCTGGGGACACCGCATGACCCAGGGCCCTTCTCCCAGTTCCTCCCTCCTCCTCTCCCTTGCCTGCAGTGGTTTCACCTCCGGGGCTGTCCCTGTGCTGGGACATTGCAGTGCTGTCACCCACGGCTGACTCCTGTCCCCATCCCCAGGAGCACGAGCCCAGCGCGCACTGGTGGCACTGGTGGCACTGGTGGCACTGGTGGCACTGGTGGCACTGGTGTGATGAGCTGCGGGTGCTCTGGGGCCGGCCCGGGTTTGGGCGTTAATTGACTCCCGCGGCGGTGGCAGCTGTGAAAACAGAGCTGGGCTCATTAGGGGACATCAAAGGGCCCCGCACGGCCGGCAGGGGACACGGCCCGACCCGCTGGCGTTTGCTCCCTCTTCACTCGGCTTAAAAGGGGAAGAGGAGGATGGGAGTCACCGGCTGGGGACAGCCCTGCTCAGCGAGGAGGTCCCCGTCCCCTGTCCCTGGGATTAGTGGCACCTCGGGGCACCCATTCTTTGGGTGCCATCCCCAAGGTTACTTGGACATGGGTGACCCATCCCTGGGGTTAGCTGGATTTGGGGTGATCTCTCTTCAGATATCAGTCACCTGCTCCTGGGGTGACCCATCCTTAGGGTCACCCATCCCCAGGGTGACCTGTACCCAGGGTGAGCTGTCCCTCGGGTGACCCATTCCCAGAGAGATCCATCTTTGGGGCGACCTGTCCCTGTGTTTCCCAGGGTGCTCCATCCCGGGGGTGACAGAGCAGGGGACAGAGGGGACACACGCTGACTGCTGCTTGCAGACACTCTGCAGCTCCTCCTGCTCAGGCTGCAAACAGCCCTGAGAGCCAAAAACCTCCAAAACCCCCTAAAAATTGCTTGGAAAGGGCACAGAGCTGTCCCAGTTCCTCCTATTCCCACTCCATCACAGGAGCCTGTGGGGCCAGGGACCCCCTGTGGGTCCCAGAACCCCCAGGTCCCTCAGCACCCCCAGAACACAGGAGCAGCCCCAGCAATCCCAGATTCCAGCCCTGTTTTCCAAAGCCAGGACATGAAGCCTTTTAAAAAAATCTCCTCTCGGAGCTCCTGCATTCCTGGGTGGAGAGTTTACATTCCCCTGTCCCCCGTGATCTGCGCTTCGCCTCCGGAAAACAAAGCAGCCTTGGGGGGAGCTGCTTTTTGGGGAGCAGGACCCTCCAGCTGGAGCCAGGACCCCGAGGGCAGCGCCCCAAAGCTGAAGCACCCAGAGCCAGGGCTGGATACGGCCTGGGACCCCCTTGGCAAGGGGGACCCCTGAATGGCACCCTTGGGGTGGGCACTGAGGGGTGCAGGGGGGGTCCCCCGATGCCTTGGCCGAGGCTCAGCCTGCCCATGCCACCACCAGAGCAGACTGCAGGAATCACCCTGCCTGAATTCCCACTTCCAGAGGCTCCCAAGGCAGGGGCTGGGGGAACAGGGGATGCTGGGGTGTCCTGGGGGGTGCCAAGGGGGGGCTGGGGGGGTCCCGACAAGCTCAGCCCGACCCCCAAACTGCTTCTCCAAACCGCAGAGGAGGGGGAAAAGAAGCCCTGGATAAGTTTCTCCCCCTCTTCTCTCCCCCTTCCAAGTCATCGCTGGAAAATTAAACCGGATCCAAAGAGTTTTTCCTTTCCAAAATGTGCTGGAGAGACTCTGCCTTAACCCCTTCAGCTCCCGCCTCGCCCTCATCGCGGGACTGGGATTTTTAAGGGGGTTTGGGGATTTTCCCGGGCTTTGCTGGGGGAAGGGGAATGGTGCAATGCCCTGGCAATCCCTCTTTGTGCTCCAGGGATCCCCAAATCCCCTGGAACGAGGGAGACAAGAAGCGCTGAGGCTCCCCGGGGCCGGTTTTGGGGCACCCCTGGGGCCAGCGCTTCATGGCCAGGTCTCCCTCTCCATTTTGAGAAAGGTCTCCCTTTCCACTTTAGGAAGAGTATTTTTTTTCATTCCAATTAAATCCAGCTGATTAAATCCATCCTTTCAGCCCCCTTCCCTGCCCTGAGCTTGCCCCCCTCCAGCTGAAACTCCCCTTCATCCCCCCTCCAGCATCCCCCAAATTCCGACAGACCGAACCGGAGTCGGGACCCGCTTCTCTCCAGAGCCTCGGGATCGGGGGCCCACCCCAGCCAAACCCCTAATCCCAGAGAAAATGTGAGCTATTTCCTCCCGGGGGGGGACACAGGAGAGGCCCCCCCCTCCCACTGCACACTGCAAATTCCTCAATTTTTGGGTTAAAACTCTCTTTTTTCCCCCTTTCAAAGTGCTTTGTTCCAGCTGGAGGGAGGCACTGGCTCGTCCCCACGGGGCGGTGGAAGTGGGGAGCCCGGCAGAACCCATGGGAACCCCCACAATTTAATTATTGGGGGTTTTTTTGGGAAAAAAAAAAAAGCCCTTAGGAATAATCTGGCATTTTTTGGACTCATTTGTATTTGTGAAAGGATTGTTCAAAAAAGGGATTTGGGAAGAAAAGTCATCAGCCAAGTAGGGGGGCCCAGGGAGAGCCCCCGGGGGCGGCAGCCCCAGCCCAGGGTCTCGTGGGAGCAAACGGGTGGGGAACAAAAAATCCACTTTCCTGGGGAGTTTCGAAAGGAGAGTGAGAAAAAAAGGCCTGTTATTGGGGTTTTTTGCCTTTTTCACCCTTTTTTCCAGCAGTCAGCGGAGCAGCGGCTGGAGGGAGCCGGGACGGAGCGGGAAGGGGGAGCAGGGGCCGAGGGTCCTCTCCCAGGCTTGGCAGTGTTTTTCCCCTTTTTCTCCTCTTTTTTTCTCCCTTTTCCCACCTCTTTCTCTTTTTTCCTGATCCTTTTTCTCTCCTCATTTTTTTAATCTCCTCATTTTTCTCTTTTTCCTTCCTTTTTTATCTTTTTCTCTTTTCTCTCCTTCTCCGATTTTTTCCCCTTTCCCTCCTTTTTCTCCCCTTTTCTCCTTTTTTCCGCCCTTTTGTTTTTCTCCCTTTTCTCCTGTTTTCCTCCCCTTTCTCCCACTTTTTTCCTCCCTTTCCTCCTTTTTCTCTCGTTTTCCCTTTTTTTCCTTGCTTTTCTCATTTTTTTACCCTTTGCTGCTCATTTTTGTCCTGTTGCCTCGTTTTTTCCTCCCTTTCCTTTCTTCTCCTTTCCCCCTTTTTTCCTCCCTTTTTCACTGTTTTTTCCCCTTTTCATCTTTTTCCTCCCCTCTTCTCCTTCCTTTTTCTCCTGTTTCTCCCTCTCTCTCCTCCTATTTTCTCCCTCACTTTTTTAACACTTTTAAATAGAAATATATACTTAAATTTACAAATGCTATTTACAGGTTTAATTACAAAAAAAAAAAAATTCAAAGAGAAAGAGAGACACCCCTTAGACGTTAATAAATCTAAAAATAAAAAATATATAATAACTCCTCCCCCCCCACCCCCACAAAAAAATATTTTAGGCCGAAGGGCGGCGGGGCCGGGGGTCACACCGTGGTCTCGCCCTGCTTGCTGTTGGTGAGCCGAGTGTAGAACTTCCTCCAGGAGTGCAGGGTTTTGCCCGACCATATCCAGAACCCGGAGGTGATGCCCACGATCAGAGTCATGAGATACTTGATCATGTAGACGGTGAAGTCGGGGGTCATGCGGGGGGTGAAGTGCAGCGGGCAGGGGATGGCCAAGCTCTTGCAGTTCTGGCTGATCCAGCTGCGCTCCCAGTGCTCGCGGAACGCCTGCTCGTAGAAGTAGCAGGCGATGACAATGGTGGCCGGGACGGTGTAGAGGACGCTGAAGACCCCGATGCGGACCATGAGCCGCTCCAGCTTCTCCGTCTTGGTGCCGCCGTGCTTCATGATGGTGCGGATGCGGAAGAGGGACACGAAGCCGGCCAGCAGGAAGGAGGTGCCGATGAAGAGGTAGACGAAGAGCGGGGCCAGCACGAAGCCTCGCAGAGGGTCGATGTTGTTGAGGCCCACGAAGCAGACGCCGCTCAGCAGGTCCCCGTCGATCTGCCCCATGGCCAGGATGGTGATGGTCTTGACCGCTGGCACTGCCCAGGCGGCCAAGTGGAAGTACTGGGAGTTGGCCTCGATGGCCTCGTGGCCCCACTTCATGCCGGCGGCCAGGAACCAGGTGAGGGAGAGGATGACCCACCAGATGGAGCTGGCCATGCTGAAGAAGTAGAGCATCATGAAGAGGATGGTGCAGCCCTCCTTCTTGGTGCCCTGCACCACGGTGCGGTAGCCGTCCTCCTGGAAGCGCTCGTTGCAGACCACCCTCTCCTCCAGCACGAAGCCGGCGATGTAGGCCACCGACACCATGGTGTAGCACCCCGAGAGGAAGATGATGGGTCGCTCGGGGTAGCGGAAGCGCTGCATGTCCACCAGGTAGGTGGTGACGGTGAAGAAGGTGGAGGCACAGCACAGGACGGACCAGATGAGGATCCAGATGCGGGCGAAGCGGATCTCGTCCTCGTTGAAGAACATGTGGCCGTCGGGACGGGTGGGCTCGCAGGGCGCCGCGCAGTCCTTCTCCCCCAGGAACTTGTAGTTGAGGTAGCTGGGCACCTTCAGCGCCCGCGGGCAGTGGAAGGGGTGGTCCAGGGTGGCATAGCGAGGGGCGCCGGGGGTGCCCTGGCCGGCCAGCGGCGTGGCACTGGTCAGCAGTGCTGGGGAGCTGCCGTCCTCCGAGTGGTTCTGCCCCACACAGATCTGCTCGGCGCCGTGCCGGGGGAAGTTCTCACATCGCAACCGCTCCGGCCACTGGAAGCCGAATTTGTTCATGAGGGCCTCGCAGCCCTGGCGCGCCCGCTCGCAGATGGAGCGGCACGGCGGGATGGCCTGCTCCAGCACCGTGCACACCGGCGCGTACATGGAGCACAGGAAGAACTTCAGCTCCAGCGAGCACTGCACCTTCACCAGCGGGTAGAACTGGTGGACCTCCAGCCCCGCGTCCTCCTGGTTGGTGTGACCCAGCAGGTTGGGCATGATGGTCTGGTTGTAGGCGATGTCGGTGCAGAGCGGGATGGAGATGGGCTGGCAGAAGCCGTGGTCGGGGATGGAGATGCCCTTCTCGCCGTGCAGCTGGGCCCGGCTCGGCGCCGGCACGCTCAGCCCCGCCAGCAGCCAGGCCAGGACGGGCAGCACGCCGGGGGGGCCCATGGTGCCCCGAGCCGTGCGCCCCGATTTACCGTGCCCGGTGCCCAGCCGGACGGCCAATCCTCCCGTCCGGGGATGCCGTGCCCGGGGCTGCCTGGACGACTCCCGGTGACTGGATACTCTGGTCCCGCCTGGATGACTCCGGGTGGCCTGATCCGCCGTGCCCGATGCTGACTCGACGGCACCCAGGGATCAGCTCTGCCGTGGCCGGTGCTGGCCGGTCGATCCCCGGTGACTGGATATTCAGCTCCCGCCTGGACGGCTCCCGGCGCCCGGATCCCCCGTACCCGGCGCTGCCCCGACGGCTCCCGCTGCCCGCTGTCCGCCTACCCCGTGCCCGGCGGGACGGCTCCCGGTGTCTCGATCTACTGTGCGTGGCGGGACGGCTCCCGGTGCTCGGACGTGGCGCTCCCGGTGCTCCGCGGCGCTGCTCCCGCTGTCCGAATGGCGCTCCTGCCGCTCCCGGAGCCGCGGGCGGGCGGTGGTGCCGGGGAGTGGCGGGAGGGGGGTCCCGGGGGGTGCCGGGGGGGTGCCG